TTACATTCTATACGCACACTCATTAGCATTTTACAACATTTTGATGAATTAGCAATTTGCGAACGAAGGTTTCCAGATCGCATCAAGTTGTTTTAAATACGTGATTGTCGGCCCATCAATGCGGCGCTAAGTGTTGACAGCTTCTCTAAATAAGGGCAGGGCGTCATTTAAGCTAATCAACTGCATGACAAGTGTCACGACACCCCTCCACCTTATGCAGTCGAAAATGACCTACTTGAATTAGTCAGATAACCACGTCTTGTCTTTCAGTCTTATTTTATCATTCCAAGACTTCTCCTCACCGCCTCGAACCTTGGTTATGGAATGGTTTGCGCTTTGGCCGCTCCTTTTAAAAATGTTATTTTTGTAATTTGTAGGCGTTGTTGCTCGACAGTTCTAAGGAACATGATTTAAACAGCTTTGAACTTAAAGTAAAACAGGACAGCAAAATATTGCAAGACGTGACCAGTATGTTTCGTTGAATGAGGCTTAATGCTAGGGAAAATTTTGGATTTCAGTCATCCACCTAGGGTAAGGGCAAACAAGGAGACCTGAGTGCTCACAAAATCGCTCATAAGGCGTTGGTCAAATACCCCAAATGACTAATCACTTCAAATTGCCTCGCACTAATGCACCAGACTATGCATCACAAAGGGATCATTAAAGTTTAAAAAACTGAGCAGACGTTGGATGTTTATGGGAAACGAATAAATCGAGTTTTTCCATGAATCTCACCTGTATCAGGTAATGCTGTTTACTGTTTCATTTTCTTAACAAACTCGTCAAACTTTGACAATGATAATTATCCGCTTTCTGCAGACACGTAGATTGTGAAAGCATTTGAAATCGCTCCAGTTAAATCGACTAGTCAATATGTTAAAGGAAAAGCCTTGTCCAATGACGTGAGCAATCTCGTCTTCATAAATGTCCAAACAGCGCCTTACATACACAACTTCAAAAGCACATCATAACTCATTGATGTTGAATGATACTCGATTTTCGATCTGTCAACAGCGAGTGGGCATTCTCTTTAGGGCGCAGAAAAAGGCGCGAAAGATGAAAAATGAAATTATGTCGTCATCAGCGAGGCTACCAAGCAACAAAGTTAGCAGTGCGGTCGAAAGGTAGTCGTGAGCAGTAACGAGGCTGACCATTTTCCTACTTGAGCCATGCAAGTTTTATCACCATCCTGTCTCAAACAGGGCGGGTGTTCTTAAAACACGGGCAAAGCTGTCAGATGTGGCGTAGCCAGTTGTTAATATTTGAGCAGTGAGCATTTGTTACCTTGGATGGCATTATTGAGGTTTTTAACGTCAGTTTTGAGACATAAAATTTATCATCCTTCAAGTAAACATCGTGGAATGGTTGAACAGATGAATTGTTACGCCATCAAATCGCAACAGTGCCTTTTATGCCAAACAGTTCGGCTACCATTTTTTAACGCTCTAATGCTACCCTCTCAGCTTGTTTCCATTCATAAATTTTGGCGCAGACTCTATAAGGCGCTAATGCACAGAAGCAATGCAAGCATCGCCCAAATGCATTGTAAGTGCAAGTGTATCATCACCCGTTTTTGTTCATCGCTCACTAGATGCAAAGTATTGAACTGTGTAGACCTTCTTGCGACCTTTCTAGTTCACCTTTGTAGGAACTTCGAGGGCATTCCCTTCGGATTGATCTCAAAGATGTCTCCACAGACGAAGCCTTAAAATTCATGACGATTATTAAGTTATTCGACGCTGCCTACACTCAAGTTCATCCATACTTCAAGCGAACAACAAGGGAACCCAAAAAGTCTCGATTTACTATACAAAAATTCAAAGCCATCGCTATCAATTGGATGCGTGGTAGAATTCTACATCGAAGGTGCAGGGTTGCAGGCTCCAGCAGTGAGGACTCCGTCGTAATCGATGAAGCGGAAGAGCATGCAAACAACTACGTTAAATAAAACTTAATCCACTTCACATCAGCCTCTGAACGTTTCCATTGAGGTGATAGGTAAAAGCTTTTGGGACATTGGAAAATTCCATCAACTTTATGGAAGTAAACTGAGTTAGAATCATAGACCAGATCTCTAAACAGATTTGCTATCCTGTTTGAAGGCCTTTTTAAGCAAGTAATCACTTGATCGAGTCAACACCTGCACGGTCTTACCGCTTATGCACCGTCTATTTTAAGGCGGAAGCAAATTTTGAGCTTCAAATGACTACCGTTCGTCCAGCGACACTTTTGGGTCAGAAGTTAAATGCCAGTGCAGATGTTCAAGGAAAGCACAAATTTCTTGATAATTCGTAACTTGAACTGAGGATACGTAAGTAGGGCTACAAAATAGTGGTGATTTGACAGAGCACCGTTTATTTTGAATGCATTTAGAACTTTTGAAAAGTATGCTTGCAAGAGTAAAAGTAGTTGATCAACAACAAATCATGTCCCAAAAAATGATTCTTTTCGCGCAAAGCTCTGTTCTGCCACGATGAACTGACAAACTGCGTACCAGTGCTCACTCAGACGACGATGCTTGTTGGCAGGCGAGTGCACCGTCGTTGGTGTCACGGTGACTGATGGGTAAGACACATTAGAGTGCATCATCCTGTTGGAAGCCGATTTGACTTCATGTGAAAACTCGTATCACGCGTGATCGCCTCAAGAAGACAAATTTGCATGGCGAAACGGTTGGGTAGTCCAATAATGTTCGTGTGTAGTAAAGATTATCTCCGTCATTTCGATCAAAAAAGCGGATTTAATGCGGCTTTAGGAGGTAATGACAAAAAATACCTTACTTCCCTAAAATCGCATAATTCTCGTGTCATATTATTTTTAATAAAATAATAATACTGAATCTGATTAAAGCACTTTATTTTAATGGGGCGACAACCCAAACACTTTTTTTTTCAATTTCGATAGCGCAGCATGTGCATCTTGATAAACCTATTGCGTCAACCATATACTTGTTCCACTTGCTTACTTAATGTGGATTAACAAAAAACGGTAAGTTCGAAGGACATGCTAAGGCTGCTAGGATTTCTCATCTTCAACGTTGTGCACTTGCTACTTTGCAATGCAGTTTTCTTCTCCCTTCAGACACTTTAAAAAGTTTTTGGTGCTTAACAGGATAAGGAGATTGTTTGACATCTGCACGCTGATGACCGGCTTTAGTCGTTCGGTTTCCCATTCCAAGGAATTGTTTGGTGTTGCTTCTCATTCATTGCGATTCTTCATG